GTGGCCAAGGTGTCACCGAAGTGCCAGCTGAGGTGCCACGTGTCTTGGTCATGATGCCGAGATGATCTCGGCTAGGCCGAGGTTATCTATGAGAATACCAGAATCTAGAATAAGCGGATAAGGGACAAGAGTCCTAGAATGGGAGAAGACTTCACTTTGGGTAAAGATAAGAATCTTAGAAAGTTTATCCTAATCCTACTGGGAGTCCAAGATTAGCAGTATGTATAAAAAGAAAATCTATAAATTTATTGAGGCCAAGGGTTGAGTTTTAAAAAAAGCTATGATTTCATTTGTATAATGAAGCATTATTTTTTTTATGAGAATTTATTTAATTTGAGTCTTTCAAATTTTATGATGATGATGATTGAATGACAGTGAAATGTTATGTGAGGGTATTTATTTTATTGATCATATAACCGAATATAGCCTTTGGGGCCACAAGGGCCAAAATGCTTTGGGGTCCTGGGGACCGAAATGTTTTAAGGACCATAAGGGTCGTTGTATGTATAAGGGGTCCTGGGGACCGAAACATTGAAACAAGAATTGAAGTGCTACGATGACATGAGCTATGTTCCTATGGTTATGTTTTGGGTAACGGTACCGTCACCACCTAAGTCGCGAGGTAACGCGACCCTAAGGCTATGTAGTGGATTGTATGATGGACAGGAAATCTTAATGTATTGAAAAGTTATATTTTTGTTTACTTTCATTATCCAAATGTATGTTTTTTTTTCTGCCTTATGAGATTCCTTGGAAAAATCTTGATAACGTTTTATGAAAATTGTATTGCATCATTTTTATTTTTATTTTGTATAAATTGAAGTCCAATTAAGCTCTTATGTTTAGTATCTTTATTTTGAACCCTATTGGTAGGAGCAAGTTTTATAACTCCATGGTATTGGTATACTCATTGGGCTTTAGCTCATTCTTTTAAATAATTTTTTTTCAGATTCATAGACTTTTGTGTGGCTCGCCTCAACTTGGAAGACTAGAATTTTTTTTTTGAAGGATCACAGGTGGGCATCTTGTGGTTGAGGTTTTGCTTAGGGTCATTCTAGGATGTAAGCTTACCCTTTTTTTTTATGAAGGAGGTTGATTGTAAAAATTGCTTATGAAGTTGGATGTATTGATGGATTCGTGATTAGTATGTATTATATTTTTTTTGGGAGGAAATGTTTGGGAACTATCTTGTAGCATGATAATATTTTTTTGTCTTTGAATAGATCATCTCATATATGTTAGGCAATTGAAAGGTCTTATGCACTTTTGGTGATGTGGTGATGTGATGTAAGAATTATACAGGAATTTGTGGTGTAAAGGTGCTATAGCGTTTGAGGTGCACCCTCTTGGCAGGGTTTTGCCTTGCCAAGATTGGGTCGTTACATTTTTGGTATCAGAGCATTTGGTTATGAATCTGTAGACTAGTTATTTTAGAATTAAAGTTGATAGGGTATTGTAGTTAGTAATTCGATTAGTGATGATGTTTAATAGCGATCTAGTATTCTAAGTTTTAATTGTCTTGTTATACAGGCGCGTATGGCAAGGCGAAGAGTTCATAAGAGTCGCCCCCTTATGGAAGTACTTGAGGCTGAGCGAGAGCCACATCTTAGTGTTGGAAATGAAGTTCCACCTCGGGTTTAGGAAGAAGAGATTGAACATGAATCGCATAATGAGCAAACTCAAGAGTCAAGTGCCAATCCAGAAGTGGGACATTCAGATAGAGTCGTACCACCAAGGGTTGACACAGCTCCAGCATTTTTTAGACCCTAGTGTGCAGCGCCTTTTAGAGTCAATGGCTAGCCTAGCGGAGAGGCAGACTCACATCCTTGAACAACAGAATGCAGCACAGTCAAGGCCATTTGTGCAACCTACAGAGAACCGCCTCACCGCAATTGAGAGGTTCAAGAAGTTGGGGGCTCCATCATTTTCTGGATCGCCCAATCCTATGGAGGCAGAGGCCTGGTTAAGGAGGGTAGAGCAGATATTTTCTGTGATGGAAGTATCAGACGAGCAGCGAGTTGCACTTGCTAGTTTTATGCTGGTGGAGGAGGCTGAATATTGGTGGGAGGCCACGCAACGCCTACTTACGGCAAGTGGCACCGGAGGATTGACCTGGAACCAATTCACTAAGGTTTTCAATGACAAGTACTTTCCAGCTACCTATCGGTATGAAAAAGAAAGAGAGTTCCTTCGGCTAGAGCAAGGGGATTTGACTGTAGCTCAATATGAAGCTAAGTTCATTTCTTTATCTCGTTTTGCCCCTTCGTTTGTGGATGATGAGGAGGTCAAATGTCGTCGTTTTACAGATGGGTTGGATTTGGACATCAAATCTCGTATCCGAGTATTGGGAATAACTAACTATTCAACCTTGGTTGATAAAGCCTTAACAGCTGAGAAAGATGTCATAGAAATGAAGTTAGCGGAACAACAGAAGAAGCGCCACCTTAGTTCATCCCATCATGAGAACACATCTAATAGACCGTCAAAGAGAGGTGGTCATGGTTATGGTTCAGTCAAGAGCTCTAGTGCATATCAAAAAAATAGAGAGCATCCCACCCCAACCCAAAGCATTTCTAATCAGCGTCATGGACAGTCTAGTGGGACATCATCTCAGTTTACTCGAAGTGTTTGCAAGCAATGTGGGCGGGCACATACAGGTGTTTGTCATGCTGGTACCGACTTGTGTTTTCGTTGTGGCCAGAAGGGTCATTTGGTGAAAGATTGCACAGTTCCTAAAATGACTAATTTGGGAGATACACGAGCTTGCTTCAATTGCGGACAACCCGGACATTTGGCTAGAGATTGCACACGAACTGCTTTATCTGCTAGTACTGGAGTTGGTAGTAATAAAATTTCAGGTGCCGGCCGAGGGGGAAGCCGAGGAGGAGGTCAGGTTGGGACTCGATTTGGCAAGCAGAATAAAGGAGGTGTTCAATCCGATAGACAAACCTCGCAGGGGAGAGTTTTTGCTTTGACTCAGCGGGATGCTCAGGCTAATCCGGAGGTGGTAACAGGTATTATTTATGTGTTCAGTAGGGAGGCACATGTACTTATTGATCCGGGTTCTACACATTCTTTTGTATCTCTATCATTTTCTTTGCATGCTGATAAACCTATTGAACCTCTAGGCTATTGCTTATCCATTACTACTCCTATTGGGGATTGTGTTATAATTGAGGAGGTATATCGAGGTTGTGTATTGCAGTTGGGAGATAGGGAGATGGTAGCGGATTTATTGCCTTTAGAGATGCTTGATTTTGATTTGATTTTGGGAATGGATTGGTTGGCTTCCTACCATGCTTCGATGGATTGTTATAGGAAAGAAGTAGTATTTTCCAATTTTGGAGAACCTGAATTTAGATTTTGTGGAGATCGATGTGCGTCCCCATCTTATGTTATTTCTGCTATTACCGCTAGAAAAATGCTTAAGAAGAGGTGCCAAGGATACTTAGCCTATGTGATTGACTCCGAATTGAGTGGTCCAAGATTGGAGGATATACCAATTGTGTGTGACTTCATAGATGTTTTTCCTGATGAACTACCTAGATTACCCCCAGATCGAGAAATTGAGTTTGCTATTGACTTAATTCCTGGAACTGCCCCAATTTCTAGTGCACCTTACCGTATGGCCCCAATGGAACTTAAGGAGCTTAAGATACAATTGCAAGAGTTATTGGATAAAGGCTTCATTAGGCCAAGTGTCTCGCCTTGGGGATCACCTGTGTTATTTGTGAAGAAAAAAGATGGCACCATGAGATTGTGCATTAACTATCGGCAGTTGAATAAGGTCACGATGCGTAATAAGTATCCTTTGCCTCGTATAGATGATTTGTTTGATCAACTTCAGGGAGCATGTGTGTTCTCCAAAATCGATCTCAGATCAGGGTATCACCAACTTAAGATTAAGGAAGAAAACATAGCGAAAACTGCTTTTCGAACTCGCTACGGCCATTATGAATTTCTTGTTATGCCTTTTGGTCTAACTAATGCCCCCGCCACATTTATGGACCTTACGAATAGAGTGTTCCAACCATACCTTGACCAATTTGTGATTGTATTTATTGATGACATACTTGTTTATTCCAGGAGTCAAGAGGATCATCAACAACAGTTGCGGGTGGTATTGCAGACTTTACGAGAAAAGAAATTGTATGCGAAGTTTAGCAAATGTGAGTTTTGGTTAGATCGTGTCGTATTTTTGGGGCATGTGATTTCGGGTGAAGGTATTTTTGTGGATCCGAAGAAAATAGAGGCTGTGGTGAATTAGGATCGTCTTACTAACGTGACCGATGTGAGGAGCTTTTTAGGGTTGGCAGGCTACTACCGTAGATTTGTAGAGGGGTTTTCATTGATTGCGGCACCATTAACACATTTGACCCGTAAGAATACCAAATTTGAGTGGACGGAGAATTGTGAAAAGAGTTTTCAAGAATTAAAGAAGCAATTAACTTTTGCCCCAGTGCTTACTATTCCGTTAAGTGGTGAAGGATTTATTGTTTATAGTGATGCCTCTCATCAAGGGCTCGGTTGTGTGTTGATGCAACATGGAAAGGTAGTGGCCTATGCATCTAGACAATTGAAGAACCATGAACGCAATTATCCCACCCATGATTTAGAGCTCGCAGCGGTTGTTTTTGCTTTAAAGTTGTGGAGACATTATTTATACGGGGAAAAATCTGAGATATATACTGATCATAAGAGTTTGAAATATTTATTCACACAGAGGGATTTAAATTTGAGGCAAAGGAGATGGGTTGAACTGATTAAGGACTATGACTGCACCATTAATTATCACCCAGGAAAAGCTAATTTGGTGGCCGATGCTCTTAGCCGAAAATCTACAGGGAAATTAACTCACATTCAGGGCATTAAATTTAGTCTCGTACATGAAATAAAATCTATTGGAGTTGATCTAGCAGTTAGGAAGTCGGGATCCTTGTTAGCTACAATTAAAGTGAGACCTTTGTTAGTGGATCGCATTCGAGAAGCCCAAGGGAAAGACTCAATTTTGGAGAAGACCCGAGCTCGAGTGAAAAATGGTACTCTGTCAGACTTTATTATTAAAGAAGATGGTGTGTTGATGTTTAAAAATCGGTTATGTGTTCCAAATGAGCCCGAGATAAAAAGGGAGATATTAGATGAGGCCCATAATTCACCTTATGCAATGCATCCGGGGAGTACAAAGATGTATTGAAATTTAAGAGAAAGTTATTGGTGGCCAAATATGAAGAGAGAGATAGCAAAATTTGTGTCAAGGTGTTTGGTATGTCAACAGATTAAAACAGAGCATCAACGCCTAGCTGGTTTACTTCAACCTCTTCCTATACCTGAATGGAAATGGGAGCATATCGCCATGGATTTTGTTTCGGGCCTGCCTCGCACACAGAAGGGGCATGACTCTATTTGGGTTGTTGTAGATAGGTTGACCAAATCTGTACACTTTTTGGCTACTAAGAAAAACTTTTCACTTGATCGATTAGCAAAAATTTATGTGGATGAAATTGTAAGATTGCATGGTGTACCGGTATCTATTGTTTCAGACAGAGACTCGCGCTTCACATCCCACTTTTGGCCTAGTCTTCAAAATGCCTTGGGTACTAAACTGAGATTCAGTACAGCTTTTCACCCCCAAACCGACGGGCAATCCGAGAGGACAATTCAAACTTTAGAAGACATGTTGAGAGCTTGTGTCCTAGATTTTCGAGGTAGTTGGGATGAACACTTGACCTTAATAGAATTTGCATATAATAAAAGTTATCAATCAAGTATTGGGATGTCTCCCTATGACGCTTTATATGGGCGAAGATGTAGAACTCCAGTATGTTGGGATGAGGTTGGAGAGAGAAAACTGTTAGGGCCAGAGATTGTTCAAATTACTACCAATAAAGTGCATATTATTCGAGAAAGGTTGAAGGCGGCTCAAAGTAGACAAAAGAGCTATGCAGATAATCGAAGGAGAGATTTGGAATTTCAAGTGGGAGATCATGTATTTTTACGAATCTCGCCATGGAAGGGAGTGATGCGATTTGGTAAGAAAGGCAAACTAAGTCCAAGGTATATTGGGCCATTTGAGATATTAGAGCGCATTGGCAAGACTGCTTATTGTTTGGCCTTACCACCTAGTCTATCTCGCATTCACAATGTGTTTCATGTATCCACGTTGAAGAAGTACATGCCTAACCCATCACACGTGTTAGATTTCCAACCAACCCAACGCAAGGATGATTTGTCTTATGAAGAGGAAGCCATAGAGATTGTGGACATGAAGGATCAAGTACTACGTTCCAAGACCATACCACTAGTAAAGGTATTGTGAAAAAATCATGCTTTAGAGGAAGCTACTTGGGAGCGGGAGGATGATATGAAAATTCGATATCCATATCTTTTTCAAGGTATGAACTAGACTAAACAAATGAATAAATTTCGTGGACGAAATTTTCCTTTAGGGGGGTAGAATTATAATATTCCCAACTTTTCATCTAGAGCCAAACACACTCCTATGTTAAACTCCATTTAGGATATCTAAACCCAACTCCAAACTTGATGGTAGGTGTGACGAAACACCCCATTTCAACACAAAAAAAAAAATAGAAGTGCAGATTTTTTTTTTTTCATTGTCTTCATTCTTCATTCTCTAACTTCTCTCTACTTTCTCTCTCATTTTCCTTTACTTTCTTGGAGGCCAAACACCACACCTTTGCTCCACCCTTACACCACCACCTTAACCCACCATCTCCACCACCTCCGGCCACCTTATCTCGCCGGAAAAAGGGTCCGGTCGGCGACTCCTTAAATCCATCCGAAAATAACACAATAGAAGCACCAACTCTAGATTTTTCTTAATCTTTTGAAGAATCAAAGCATGGGATTTATTTTCTTGATGGATTAGAGGCTTGTAATTAGTAAGAATCTTTCTCTAAAAGTTTAGTTTAAGGTTTTACATATTTTGAGTTGGAGATGATGAAATTTTTGTGTTTTAGATCTATTATGATTTGGGGTTTGATTGTTGAATTTTATACTCTCAATTAGTTTCCATGAATGTTTTACATGTTAAAAAAAAAAAAAATTGGTCAATTTGATGGTTGATTTGGAGATTAAGATTTTGGGTTAATCTAGGGTTTGAATGTGATGTAAAAATTGGGGATTTTGGTGTTAGGGAATTTATATGTTGAAATTGATTTGATAAATGGTGGATTGGGTATCTCTATGTTCTATGGAGGAATTTTATAAGTGATTGAAGAGATTTTACTTAAGTTGTTGAGTTTATACAAAAATGTTGATTTTTGACTTTTGTAGTAAATTGATGGTGGTATTGTGCATATAAATTGATTGGATATTTAAAAAGTTACTAACTCAAAGATGTTCAAAGGATGGATGTTATGGAGATTGGATAAGTTATTTGTTTGGGTGACTTAAAGTTAGAGGAGTTTTTTAGCTTGCCATTCCTTAGCATAATTTTATTTAGGATCATTTTTGTAGATGTTGTAATTTTCATTGAAAGCTTTTACTAATTTGAGATCCTATTTACTAATTGTTAGGATTGGAGGAAAGCATCTCTACACCTCTTGGAAATTAATTTGTAGAGTTTCAAATCTACACTTTTGCTATTTTTGGAGGTGAGTATACTTCCCATGGAAATTACCTTACCTCTATCTTTATTACAAAGTTTGAAAATAATTTTTGAATTAAAGGAAGTGAATGATACATTTCATCATGATATATGTATAAAAAAAAAATCTATAAATTTATTGAGGCCAAGGGTTGAGTTTTAATAAAGATATGATTTCATATGTATAATGAAGCATTAATTTTTTTATGAGAATTTATTTAAGTTGAGTCTTTCAAATTTTATGATGATGATGATTGAATGACAGTGAAATGTTATGTGAGGGTATTTATTTTATTGATCATATAACCGAATATAGCCTTTGGGGCCACAAGGGCCAAAATGCTTTGGGGTCCTGGGGACCGAAATGTTTTAAGGACCATAAGGGTCGTTGTATGTATAAGGGGTCCTGGGGACCGAAACATTGAAACAAGAATTGAAGTGCTACGATGACATGAGCTATGCTCCTATGGTTATGTTCTGGGTAACGGTACCGTCACCACCTAAGTCGCGAGGTAACGCGACCCTAAGGCTATGTAGTGGATTGTATGATGGACAGGAAATCTTAATGTATTGAAAAGTTATATTTTTGTTAACTTTCATTATCCAAATGTATTTTTTTTTTTCTGCCTTATGAGATTCCTTGGAAAAATCTTGATAACGTTTTATGAAAATTGTATTTCATCATTTTTATTTTTATTTTGTATAAATTTAAGTCCAATTAAGCTCTTATGTTTAGTATTTTTATTTTGAACCCTATTGGTAGGAGCAAGTTTTATAACTCCATGGTATTGGTATACTCATTGGGCTTTAGCTCATTCTTTTAAATAATTTTTTTTTCAGATTCATAGACTTTTGTGTGGCTCGCCTCAACTTGGAAGACTAGAATTTTTTGAAGGATCATAGGTGGGCATCTAGTGGTTGAGGTTTTGCTTAGGGTTATTCTAGGATGTAAGCTTACCCTTTTTTTTAAGAAAGAGGTTGATTGTAAATATTGCTTATGAAGTTGGATGTATTGATGGATTCGTGATTAGTATGTATTATATTTTTTTGGGGAGGGAATGCTTGGGAACTATCTTGTAGCATGATAATACTTTTTTTGTCTTTGAATAGATCATCTCATATATGTTAGGCAATTGAAAGGTCTTATGCACTTTTGGTGATGTGGTGATGTGATGTAAGAATTATACAAGAATTGTGGTGTAAAGGTGCTATAGCGTTTGAGGTGCACCCTCTTGGCAGGGTTTTGCCTTGCCAAGATTGGATCGTTACAGTACAATCTAACAAGAATTACAAACAAGCTTTGCAAAATATCAATCAACAACCAAAATATTGTTTTAAGTATCAAAAAGAAACTATATTCATAAGTTATGAACATTCAACAATTGTCTATACATTCCAAACATCTAAAAACTATCTTTAAGTTCAAAACCATCTGAAAATCCTAAAGCTCTAAATTGTCTAAAAAGTTCTAAACTATCCAAAAACTATATTCTAAACAAATCCAAAACTATCCAAAGATTAGAGAAATCCATTCATCAATGTTATATCAAAAACTATCCATAGATGTTAGAATTTCTACTCAAAGTCAAAGCTGATGAAATGGATTGTCAAGCAACAGTGCTTCCAACAGTATCCTCAAGCACAAACATCTCACAATCACGCATAGCGGTAAGGTCTCCAACCAAAAGAGCAGCTGAACTGGTAGACCTCTGTGATGCTAAATAAGTTCTAGATATTGCATTTCTTGTCTGCATAACAAAGGAAACTTCACATAAGTACAAAAACCAACGACTAAGAGACAAAGATTTCTTTAAGTATTAAGAAATGATTAAAAAAATTTAAAACATCAATAAAATATTTCTAAAATTAATAAGATAATTCAATGGCCTCATAAAAGCATTGAACATGCATCACCAAATTGCTTAGTGTCTATGGAGCATAATCAAAAGCTGCCAGTCTGCAATCCAATCAAACTCAGAACTTTAGAAGAAGAATTCTGTGAGTATATTGCAATTTTCCACATAACTCTAAAAACCAAAGATGACAAATATTTCAACATGATCTCTCCTTGACTGGCACCCTCATAACTAATGTGAACTTTACCCATGCTCTAAAAAATATTAGTGCCTACTCATCAGATAAATCAGAGTTCATTTAAATTAGTCCCTAGAAAATGAAATATCTTCAAACACAACTTTGATAATGATTCATCAGAAGCCTCATCTACGCATAGATGCATGTATTAATATATATATATATATATATACACACACACGCAAATGACATAACATCTGAAAACTAGAGAAACACTATGAAAATACCTTTGCATACTCAAAGTTGCTCTTTGGAGGTAACAAAATCACCCATCTTCAGATGGATAGTATAAGAAGGGCAGCATGTGCTTTCCAACTCAGATTTGTAAAGGAAACAGCCAGATCTTCTCCAACCTTTGTCAAGAAGGGCTACAGGGCAAAAATATATTGGAGCCTGTGAATACAAATACATTTTAGTCAACATCTATCCATTTATCGTAGAGGACAAAATATTGCCAAAACATCTCACTGTTAATCAATGAACATCACAACCACACCACCTTTCCCAAATACGAATTAATCAATGAACATCTCGTTTCATATTTGGATTCATGCCCTGATAAGAGTCTTAACACAGTTTTGTCTACCTATGTGCATGTGCAGCTCTATTTTTATTTTATTCTATTTTTGCGCACGCACGCCTGTGTGTGAGAGAGAGAAAAAACCAACAATGAAATTCTTAAGTGGCAAACGATACCATGCCTACTTGAGTTGAGTCCAACTCTTGGGATGACAACAAGAACCATTTGATTTTAAGAAAGTAACATCTTGGGCCCACTTTAGTCCTCGGCATAGGTGTCGACCGTTTCTACCGGCATCTCTTAGTCAACATGCCTATTGGTCGGCGAAAGTGCTGTTCAACATTGAGTTCTTAGCAAACCCAATGAGCCTAATTGGGTGTGGGCTTTATAATCGTTAGGCCTAGGCGTCTTGTTTGCTGTTTATTTAGAAAAATTGCTCGATTCACACATTATCTATCTCAAAGTCACCTCTTTTGCCCTTAGGAATTAAGAATGTAAACTAATGACAACTTCTAAAACTAAGGCAAGTTCAAAAAACTCGATAAATCACTTGTGCTATATTATTCATTATTCTAAAATGATTTATTGTTTTATGTAAGGATGTAAGAAAAAATAAAATAAAACAAAACAAAAAAAATTGACTGAACCGATTGAACCGAACTAAACCGACTATATTTGGTCTGCTTTTTAATATGAATCGATTTGTGCAGTTTTTAAAATTAATTTTTTTTGATTTTCGGTTTAGTATCAGTTTAGGCATCTTGTGCACTGAATAAAATTGAAATTGATCGAAAGTTTCGCATATTAAACATAATATATATTAAATATATAATGAAATTGATTGAGTACAAAATTCAATTGATTCATTTAATTATTTATTTATTCTTAAATATTACAGGTTTGACAATAAATATTGGCAATGTGATAAGTTATTAGTTTGCCACTCATATGTACTTGAATCAAGTTTTGCTACTACTATGTATATATAGCTATATCAGATGTTTATGTCGTTTTCAATTTTTTGTTTCAACTCTACTTGATAGACTTGTAATTTAGTCTTATGGGATGATGATTTTAAATTTTGATTTTGCTTTAGTGTCAAAACTTTAGTTTTCAGATTATATTTTGTTTCTAATTCTATTTCAGTAAGAACTTAAACACTTTAATCCTTTTGTTTTTATTTTTGTGAATGATTGGATTGGATATTGAAGTAGGAAAAATGATTGAGAGTTTTAATAAAGGAGTTCTAATGAGTTCTAATAGAAGTGAACACCACTGTAATATAATGTTTTAGTCTTGGTTTTATTTTATTTTATTTTTTTTATTCTCTGTCACATCATTAAAGCGTAATTAGAGCTCCAAAATTATAAGGACGCATCATTGCTCTTGAAGTAATGTATAAATGGTTAATTCAATATTTTTATATAAATTATTTACTATATTTTAAATTTAAGAAGTAAATCAAATTTGAAAAATCGTAAACCAAAAATTGTATTGAGCTGAACTATTTGAATTAGTGCAATTTGGTACAGCTTAGTAAAAAATTTAATTTGTATCAATTTTCAATATCATAAAACTAACATTATCGATTTAGTGTAAAATTTTATTTAAATACTGACCGTTTTGAACCGATTATACTCCTAATTTTATGCTTGAAAAGCAAAGCAAAATAAACAAACAAACAACATCATCATTATTATCATCACCATCAATGTATTTGTTGTCACTTTTACGTATATGTTGGTTTGATTTATGTTGTTATTGAAAAAAGATGGTCTTGTTCCCACGGTAACTTTTGACAATATTAGACCATTGTATGACAGCCAAATCATGTGGGAATTAAGCTCAATTTGTGAAGAGACAGTGCACAGGGATCACACCATTTAGTAGAGGTGTATGCGACGTGCTTACGACGATTTGAAAGTAAAGTTATAAATTAATTTATGAATGTCGAATTGATAAATAATTAATTGGAATTTGAGCAATTTTGGGCTATTTCAATTTATTAGTTGATTGAATAATATTCTTAAATAATTATTAAGTATTTACATAATATATAATATTAATTTATATAATATTTTTCATATGTATAACACAAACTAATTTCAAATAATATTTTTTATATATATAACTACTAATTTGTAATAAATTTCATATCTTAAATCTCTCACATTCATTTTTACTTTGATATTTTATTAGCGATTAAAAAAATATATATGTATTAACTATAACAGAATGGAACAGTTGCGAAAACGGTTTATAAATTTCAAACTTTAATTCACGATTAGCGGATAGATTGATGCAGATTAATGTAGATCGATACAATTTTAACAAATTTGACGATATTTTTCATAATCCTACCATCTAGAATTGTACAAATTTTAATATTGACAGATAAATAAATAAATAAATAAATAAGGTGTTGTAAAAAGTACTAGTTAACAAACCTAAAATGGTTGTACTTTTACATTCTTTATAAAAATATATGAAAAAAATTCAATTCCAAATAAAAAATTTTAGAAGAATAATGTGAGAAAGCTATTTTTATATAAACAATTTTATTTTTATAATTTTTTTGTTTTAAAATGATGTCTTTATATGAATTTTTTATTTATATATCATCACTCAAATATATGTCATAAAGAATATATAATAATTTTAAGAAAAATATTTAAGATCCACAAAAAAAAAACTCTCACAATAGTACCCACAATGATGCAGTATCACATGTGTCAATTTTTGATTTGTTACACGTTCAATAATGGAGGGCCCAACTCCTTTACCACATCATTATAGTGAATTTGTAGGTCTAAAAGTGTGGATCATTACTCTAATTTTAAATTGGGACCTTTGGTGAAAGCCCCTTAATAAAGTTTCTTGTAAAAAGGACAAGGGTGGAAGATTTTCTGTGTGAAGGACACACGGGAAAATTCTATTTCTACACATCTAGTTATCTCAGTGCACATCATTTCTCAGTACACACTCATTATAGGCTATTGTTCTCATTCTATATACTTCGTGTTCTAATTATACCTTAATTTATATCATTGTACACACACCACCTAAACCCTCCTTTTACACACCTATACCCATTATGGTCATCTTTCTCTCTCTCCAAAATAGAGAGATGATTCTTATAAATTTGGAAGATCTATCACTCAAAGTGGCAGATGTCTGAAACTAACCCAATGTATACCTAGCTGAAAATTTTAATAAATCAAAGCAATTAAAGAACAAAAATATATAAAAATGCAAAGGTACCTATTCAACATTGGTA